GTGTTGATGGGTGAAGTTCACAGTGAATTAGATTAGCTTATTGCTATCTGCAGACACAGACCAGATACTGGTTTCGGACGTTCGTTATCAATGTGACCCTTGGCAGCTTGAAGATTGTGAAACGTGGTCAGTTAATCTGTACATGTCCAGTTTTCAATAATAAATACTGTCATAAAGATTGGTAAAACTTTGTCCAGTTTTACAGTGTTAATAAATAGTATGCCCCTGTTCTTTTCGTCCCGAAATTTGTATAAGCAAAATAACACCATACATATTTACAGTACGAGTGATGGGTAAATCGTGGTACAGAAACAACTGGTATCGCGTACCCATGATGACTGACGAGAACATGTGTACAGATTGAACTTAGTCTGTGAAAGGTGTATACAAAGGTAACAGTAGGTGCAAGATGCAAGTTAAGGAACCAATTGTTAGTTAGGAGCATTTAAGGGATAGTGATAAAGCACTACTGGAACATCTGCCAATCATGATACTGAGGATATTAGCGATGTGCCTCTTTCCTAAAACAATGCACAAGAAAAACTTGCATTATTTTATGTGCACACCAAATGGAACAGCATATAGGGTTTGGCTGAAATTGCGGCGCGCACGCAATTTCTAGCACTTGATAACATTTTTCAACTGGGTTGTACTGGTCACTTACCTTGGGTTACTGTTGCTCACAAACCACGTCAGTGGTCTAAGAGGTGAGGTGAGGTGAAATTGGGTTTAACGTCGTGCTTGAGAATATTTCGCTCATATGACGAGGTGCATGCGTGTGTATGTGTATGTGCGGCTGTTTGTACTAGCCCAGACTTAAGCTGGTTTTATAGTGCTAGCTCACTGAGATACCATGCCGCAGTGAAGCATGAATACCCCACTCAGACACATTATACTGACTCCGAGCCGACCAGTCCTTGTAGTACCCATTAACGCCGAGCGCCAGGCAGATATTTTAACGTCTTTTGGTATGACGCGGTCGGGGATCGAACCCGCGACCTTCCGCTCTCCGGGCGGACGCTCTGACCACTACACGTCAGAGGCGGTGTGGTCTGAGAGAGTGACTGATTTGGTACTGTTGTTTCCGAGTGATCCTCTGATTGTTTCTCCAAATTGTCATTGGTGGTCTGAGAGACTGTAGGATTGTTGAAGGTATATCTGTTTTCCGATTGAGAAGGAGCGATGTCATCTTCCAAGACATCCTGTTGTTTATCAGTGTCCACAGCTACCTGTGTATCAAGTCGATTCTGGACAGTGTTTGTCTCATAAACTGGTTTCAACCTGTTGGCATGAGTGCGTGAATGTTGCTCTTTCAATGTTTCTCTACAGCGCAGCTGATAAGTGTCATGAGAACACTTTCTGCTAATAAAGATAAGGGCCTTTGTACTTTGGTTCGAGTTTGTGTGACCGTTTCTTAACCGTGACTGGATTGGTCATCCAGACGAGGTCACCTTCATCATAAGTACACTCTTTAGCCTTGGAGTCATAACGCTGTTTCATTTTCTCTTGGACTACCCTCAAATTTTCTGTAGCCACTGTGTTAGCAATCTTCAGGTTATCCAACACCTGTTAAACTGGTTCCACTGCATTTTTACCTAACGAAGTCTTTGGTAAAATTGCTGTGTCAAAGGGAACATGCATTTCCTTGCCAAAAAGCAAATGGAATGGAGAAAATCCTGTAGATTGTACCCTTGGTGTCATGCGGAATGCCATCATTATCCCTGGAATCAAACTCGGCCAGTTTGAGTGATCAGTGTCGCAATATGTGCGAAGGGACTGAAGGATGGTACTGTTTGTCCGCTCACAGGCTGAATTTGTCATTGGATGGTACTACTTGAAAGATGACGTGTAACCTGGAAGATTTCACATTGAGCACTGACAAGTTTACACGTGAAATTACGACCTTGGTCAGAGACAATGGACCTTGGAGCACCATAACGACAGAATATCTCCTGATATAAAACACGTGCCACTTCTGTAGCTTCCTGTGATTTGAGACGGAATGCCTCCGACCAACGGCTGTAGGAATCGACCACAAGAAGGATGTGTTTGTAGCCTTCAGGTGTCTCCGTCAATGGTCCAAGGAAGTCAATGTCAATACCGTTCAAACGTCACAGTGATGGGCAGTGGATGGAGAGGTGCTCTGTTGGGATGCCGTGAAACTTAGGAGACTGGACATTTATGACATGACTTGATGTAATCATGAACTTACTGATACATCCCAGGCCAATAGTACTTGAATCTGAGAGCCCCATACACTCTGTCAGCACCGAGGTGGCCACCACCTGCTTGAATCATGGTATGAGAGAAGAGCATCCCTTCGGAGGCTCTTGGGAAGGGCAAACTGGCGAATGAGTTTATCAGCTGCTTCCATCTTGCGAGTACGAGGCTGATAAACATGGTAAAGTATCCCATCTAACATGTCATACCTATGAACAGTGTTTTGGATCCTTTTCCTCTGGTTCATATCTTGTTGTAAAGAACCATCTTCGAGGAAATTTACATTGCCTTTGAAATCAGGGCACTGCCGTTCAATTTCTCCAATATTCTCCAGATCAGAGTAAGAGGGAGTGGAGGTTGCCTCAGGGATCTGGAGGTCAGCTGTCTTCTCCTGCACAAGGAGAGTGTCGGGGATCTGGAGGTCAGCTGTCTTCTCCTGCGCAAGGAGGGCCTCAGGGATCTGGAGGTCAGCTGTCTTCTCCTGCGCAAGGAGGGCCTCAGGGATCTGGAGGTCAGCTGTCTTCTCCTGCACAAGGAGGGCCTCAGGGATATGGAGGTCAGCTGTCTTCTCCTGCACAAGGAGGGCCTCAGGGATCTGGAGGTCAGCTGTCTTCTCCTGCACAAGGAGGGACTCGGTGTCATTTTGGGGGGCGGACAGAAAAGCCGCCTGTGAGGATACATCATTGAACCTACGAGTGAAGACGACTTCGAATTGGGCTGCGGTTGTTGGGGATGGGTGAAGAGAGTCCAGCCAGGTAGCAGCGGGGCCGTCTAAGTACAATGGCAGGAGGTTCAAGTAGACAGCAGCTGTCAGTGATTGATACTATCGAAAACAATCCAATTGGTAAAACTTTGTCCAGTTTTACCATACAAAAAAACAGGAAGAGGTCACACTGAGAAGAGATGCAACGTTTTGACTTATCTTCTTGTCAACAGGCCCATGCAGGAAGCAAATGTACCGTAAATCCCTATGGTCCCCAGTATGGTGATCAACCTTCAGTTGTTGGCAATCTATAGCCTGTTTTTATATTGTATTGTCATCTATAGTTAAACTGTTTTAGATTTAATTACTAGTTCATATGTGATAATCTAGTTATTTTAATGTCCTTCGTTGACAGGTTTTTATAATTTAACATGAATTGCTATGTATCACAATTAATTGATATGGCTGAAATTGCCGATGTGACGATAAATTGCAACTCACTCACTCTTGTCAACAGTTCCGCTCTTCCATTTCATATATTCTTTATGAAATACTATTTCAATTTTAAACGATATAATGTATCAGCAAACCGTGTCTTGGTTTTTTAGGTTTATTTCATTTCGTACAGAATATATCCTCCAAGCAATTTATTGGATACCCAAACGGAAGTACAAGATCCGAAGTATTCATTTTATCAATTACCATATTGTTCTGTCAAAGATATGTAGCCTCCTAACAAGTGTAAATATCTACATAATAATGATAACATTGATCCAATAAATGCAGAACCATAAAAGAAGCGTTGATGTAGGTTTTCAAAGATTAATTGCGTTCTGAACATTCTGATTTCCCAAAAACAATGACATGATAAATTACAAAAACTGTGCAAGTCTTGAAACGGTGACTACAAAATTGAAACTAAGGGTTATCCTTTGCGTTTATGGGCTTAACACGTAATGCACTACAAATACGACATTTTTCAACAATATGTTTCACATCAATATATCACTGAATAACAAAATCGTAACATCACCCATCCCCCCTCTAGTATTAAAGGGGGCGGTGGGGTAGCGTATTGGTAAAGCGTTCGCTCGTCACGCGGAAGACCCGGGTTCGATTCCCCACATGGGTACAATATATGAAGCCCATTTCTGGTGTCCCCCGCCGTGATATAGCTGGAATATTGCTAAAAGCGGCGTAAAACTTAACTCACTCACTCACACTAGTATTAAAGGCCCGTGAAGATACGGGTTAGAATTGGTCGTCAGCAGCCCGTGCTTGTCGTACGAGGCGACTAACGGGTGGTCAGGCTCGCTGACTTGGCTGACACATGTCATCATATCCCTATTGCGTAGAACGATGCTCATGATGTTGAATATTTGAATGTCTGGTCCAGACTCGATTATTTACAAACCGCCGTAATATAACTGGAATATTACTGAGTGAGGCGTTAAACAACAACCAAACCAATCTAGTATTTAAATACACACACGTATTCACAGTTTATGATACTGGCCAGTTTCATTCAAGTAATTTAGTATGACATGACAGCTCAAAGGGTCAACATATCTTTCAGGTTTACTGGTTGATATGTTCCACATAGACATACATGTATATCAAACATCCCTTTCGCTCCCCGAGCGCGTCATACCAAAAGACGTTACAATATGGTACTTGTTGGTCCCTGCCTGGCGCTCGGCATTAATGGGTACAACAAGGACTGGTCGGCTCGGAGTCAGTATAATGTGTCTGAGTGGGGTATTCATGCTTCACTGCTTCATGGTATCTCAGTGAGCTAGCACTATAAAACCAGCTTCAGTTTGGGCTAGTACAAGCAGCCGCACATACACATACATACGCATGCACGTCGTCATATGAGCAAAATATTCTCAAGCACGACGTTAAACCCAATTTCACCTCACCTCACCTCAAACATCCCTATTATCTGATAATAAGTGTTTGGTGCTTATGATTACGTGATGGAAATTCCTCCTTCCTTATTTCAGTAAACTTCACAACAATTCAAGACGTGGGGCTCTCCTTCACTCTGATTATGGAACCTGTTAAGTATAAGAATATGGAACAGCATTGTGCTCAACTAGCTGATGGCGGTCGCCTGATCGTTCTTGATTCAAAGTCAAAGTTGGACGCTTTGAAAACATATGTAGCCAGCAGCTCGGGTAGGTACTGTGCATTATTTGAGAAAAGTGATTGAGTCAATATTACCAGTTAACAACCATTATACGGTCTCAAACACCGTGTCAATGTTGGGCATTAAGCTGTAATTTACGACTTGACAAACGAACGCTATAAGATATCCACGCAATCGAGCTGGTTAGGTCACACTTGCCTAATAGTGCAACTGAAGTTGATATTTCAAAAATTCCCATTCCGGATGGTTGATGGATTACAGAACAGTGATCGTCTGAAAATGAGTATACCTGTTGTACGACAATGAATACTTCCATACGTCGTATTACTAGCATATGAGTAAACCACTTTTGGACATGCAATACAATAGAAACTCCATACCATTTCAACATCCGTAAAATCATCTCTGCTAAAAGCAGAGTCAGTTTAAAATTCCGAGTATATCATGAGTATTTGCTTGACGCCGTGTTCAGCAGTTTTGCAGCTGTATGATCTGAAAATCAGACAATCCAGTTACTGACATACCAGGTGTCGGAGATAGGAGGAGTGAGTGTGAGTGAGCTAAGATTTTAAGTCACATCGGCAATATTTCAGCCATATCGTGACTAAAGCAAGTTATAAATATATCAACAATTTAAGTTAAATTATAAAATTCTGCCAACGAAGGACAGTAAAACAACTAGGGTATCACAGATACACATGTAAAACTAGTAACCAAATCTAAAAACCTTTCAACCATAGGGAACAACACAATATAAAAATAAGCTATAGACCGCCAACAACTGAAGGTAGATCACCATACCAGGGACCATGGGGACTTACAGTACCTTGGCTACCTGCATGGTCCCTAGTTGGATTTACACCATCCCTTCAGCTGCTGGCGATTGTAAGGAATGTTAGCTACAATTTAAATTACAAGAATGCCGATAGGAGGAGCACATCCTGTCCCAATGGTGGCACCCATCATAAACATTTGCAAAGGCAGACAACTCTTCACCCGAACGAATTCGGGAACGTAAGGAACAAATAGGAAATTGCATCGGACATATATTTTTATGTGTCATTTTTTAAATGTCCCCCACGTTTACCATAACCATTTTGAAAGCACTCCTGACGCCTTGAATGGAACCTTGATTGAACAACTTTTGAACAAGATTGGTATGACGTTCTTTGGCAGCTTGGTAAAATGAGCATGCTTGATGATACCTCAAACGTTGTGAAACCATAGACTGGAGCTGTTGGAATATTGCTCGACATGTAAGAAAAGTTGACTATTGGGGAGAGGTTTCTGTTACTCTGAATCGTTATGCATAGTTTTAAATATGAGTTGGTGAGTGAGTTTAGTTTTACGCCACACTCAGCAATATTCCAGCTATATGGCGGCGGTTTGTAAATAATCGAATCTGGACCAGACTATCCAGTGATCAACAGCATGAGCATCGATCTGCGCAATTGTTCTAAATATGAAACAGCTGATGCTGTCTCTTAAAAAGTTCGGATGGATAAATCAGTGGTTGGGAATTGGCTATTTGATGGTTAATGAATGATATTAGATCAACGATATACCTTAAGCTTACACTTCTTGGCCAAATTACGTTATTTTGATTTTGCCAAACCAAGCAGAAATTCGATTCATTCCCACAAAGAAACGGATTGCAAGGAGGGGAACACAGTTGGTGGAAAATGGGGATGCCTACTTCTTGTCTAAATGTTTAGACCCAAATTTTACAAACATGTTGTCAATGAGGAAGTTCAGCATTTTGCGTATTTTTTATTATTATTATTTCTGACTTCAAATGACATTTGCTTTCATTTTTGACAAATTGTCCTGAACCACAGAGGATAAATATTTAGGTATGTCTTTGTTCACCAGTTTAATAACAAATGCCACATGGATCAAAAAATGAAGTTTTTCTTTTGGATATCGGTGTACAACGTTGAAAAATGAAATGTTTTGACACAACTGAACTCGGTCCATTTCTGAGATTGTAAAAGTTGAGTTTTTGTGAATCCACATGGTATCAAATATACCCCGTGATTATACAAAAAGTCCCACGACGATAGCGTGAAGGAATATGGTTAATATTTGAGGTAGGGATTTCTGGACATAACATTACAATACATTTGCTGGACAAAGAAATATATTTGTATAGATTGTTATGTAGCTTTTCGAAGCCAGTACAAATGATAAATGGGCACGTCTTCACGGGCAGTGTTTGTAAGCATGAGAAACTTTCAACGCTCTTGTGAATTATGAAACCCATCTCACAAACTTTGGAAACCCGATCCTTTCCGCCGGCTTCATCAACAGCCACAGGACACCATGGGTCGGGGAATATTTTCAGTCATGAACCCATTGCTTCCCTGGTACTCATGAACTGATGTGACCTAGTACGAATGAAAGGGCTCTCGGTTGCTATATGAATGTCCCTCTATCCATGCTCCATATTATTTTCGCCATAAAGTAGTTCATGTTAATGATTGCAAAGTTTATTTTCCTTTCAGAGAAGCCATCTTTCTTCGTTGGATTACGAAAGACAGGAGATCGACACCTCTGGTCCAATGGAGAGGAGATTGACCCTGCCTTTTGGTGTACCCCCAAAAATAAGGTGCGCAAAAACGTTTGTGGTTCAGTCAAAATAAAGGGCCACAAGCGTATCTGCATGGGTGCAGCTAGATGCACCAAAGGAAAGATGATCTGTGAGAAACCTTTGTAATATCCCAAAATGGCACATCTGGTCACGCCTTCTTTCAATAAAGAGGTGCATACCTGACATTGACTTTGGCTTTAATCGCAAGCGACGGGGAGTTCGTCGTGATCCCCATTCAACTATGCTTCACTCGCAATGCAACGTAATGTTCAAACATATTAACCAGCTCGATACGCACCACGATATATTGCCGATTTTCAAAATTTTACTATTTGGAAGTGAGGATGTGAGATTTGTTATATCACACTGAGCAGTGTTCCAGCTATGTCGCGTCAGCTTATCATTTACCGACAATGGCGAAAATGTGTATGGTTAATTACACAAATGCGACAAAAACGCCATCCATATTCATCAGAAATCACCACTGAAAGGTGTTCGTAAAAAAAATGATTTGCCCCGATAACTGCAAATGCAAAGAGAGACCACTATCTTACTAAAACAGAACATATGGATACACGGGTATAAGTCAAAATAGATAATAACATCGAACATCTAAAAAACTTGGAATTGTCTTCAACACCTAAACGTGGGTGCCAATACTTCGTTCATAGAAAGAAATATTGGTTATTGAGAGGCATCAGTTCATCAAGCTTAAATTCTGAGCGAAACTGCCTCCTTTTGATTTTTCCAAACTGAGCAGACATTTCAATGCATAAGCACAACTAAACAATAGCAACACCTCTTTTTAACAGAATTCCAGTCATGTTAGACCGTGTCAGTTCAAAGTTGGGAGGAAAGTCGGAACTGATGCAAGAAGTTTTCCATGTGTGTGAAACCGACGGGCAGGGTAATGTTGACAAAGTCATCAATATCCCCCGCAATAGAAAAATACTCTTCATGAATATTTCAACTAGTTATGACTTTGTCATATTGTTCTCCACATTGATCTAACGAAAACATACACATATATAACTACCATGTTTGTATCAACACGGTTTGATGTACCTCCGTAATGTTGATACTGGAAATAGAGTGGTACTGTTGATTTAGGGCATTTTGTTTTTTGAATACCCTCAAAGTGGAAGGAGAGTATTAAAAGGTTTTAAAGTTCTGCTCCGGAAAGGAGCACTACCATTAATTTCAGTCAAAGTAAAACTTGTTGCCATGGAAATACAAATATTATTTTATTCAGAAATCCAAAACTATTAAAAGGCACCAGTTCATAACCAGACCTATCTTTGTGCTTAGTTTGGTGAAGAAACAGTGAATAGTTAATAAATATATGCATAGTCTGTCTCATGATATGGATTGTAGGTCATTCCCAATGCTATTACAGACAACACAATGTATGTCGCCAATATCAACTGGTCTCTGTATAAGTCGTACCTCACAGAGGGAATTGTCAAGTTATATATTATCGCCATCAGCTATTCAATACACGCACAAATGTTGGTATAGACGTTGGCAGACGAGTGGTATTAGAAATGGTTTTTCGCGGAAAGCCTTGAAATCGATTATTGCCAGAACTGTCGTTCATTTCCGGATTTCAGAATGTCGCATGACTACATTATCGTTGGTTGGTTGGTTGCTGTTTAACGCCGAACTCAGCAATATTCCAGCTATATGGCATGAGACAGGCAAATGATCGAGTCTGGACCAGAGTGAGTGAGTGAGTTAAAATTTAAAGTCACGTCGACAATATCGTGACAGAAACAAGTTTTAAATTCATCATAAATACATGTAGATTATAAAAACCTGTCAACGAAGGACAGTAAAACCAACTAGATTATCGCAGTATCAAAAAATAAAACTAGCATATCTCTTTAAAATTGGATTTCAAATTAAGACAATACAGTATAAAAATGGGCTATAGATCGCCAAGAACTGAAGGTAGGTCACGAGACCAGACAATCCAGTGATCAACTGCATGAGCTTCGATCTACAAAACTGGGATACAATGACATGACTACGTTGTCCATCAAGCAGAGAGTTGATGAATTGACAATAGTGAGCGCATCATGGAACTGGTTCAAGCGAATCACTATCTTCATCAGCTTGTGAATGTCAACAAGACAACGTCAGTCCTACCATAATGACAGACATCGCCCAGATGAACACTACCAAGCCGGCTGTCGTCAACTGCATTGTTCCAACAGAGCTTAGAAGGTCACCAGCTTTGTGTTAAACGAATGAAATCTTTCCCTTGCTCAGATCTATATATTTATTTTCCAAAATACTAATATCACTAGGGGATTAGGGGTTTTAAAATACGCTTCCCTCCTTTTACGAGTAACATTCGCTCTGTATCGCTGGGACTTTAGATATGCCGGTAGTCTGTCTCATACTCCGCCCAACCCTTTCTGCAATGCAATAGGCCAAAGTGAAGCTAGTCTTGACTCCAACTGGTTCTGAATCTGCGAGCCCACTAGGGCGAATTAAGAGTAAACGGTGCTACTATTTCTATCAAAATCGCCTATTTTCAGAGACTTACCGCTTTGTATATCGTGACATGATACTGCAGTTATGGATCAAAACATGCCCCGGGTATGCTTATTGGTCGTTTTTTTTCTGGGGACTTGCTTTTGCGTGTGTTTGTAACGGGTACTACAGGGTAGGGCAAAATGTGCTACCCTTTTCCGCAAACAATGAAGATGGGGGTCTTTTTGACATCTTGTTCTACTTACTGGTGAAAGGTCACACAAAGACATCCTAATCACCTTATTTAATCACGGTTAATATTTTTGTAATGTTTGCACTGTAAACTGATCAACATCTATGATACTGAATATTTGCTTGATTTTATAGAATATGGAAAGGCTAACCTAAGGCCTTTCAAACTGAAATAACGCGTGTGCGAACAATCGTGGGTATGCCCATCCAAGTACATTGTATGTACGATGTGCTTGTGCGATCTCTTAATTAGCATAATATACTTCAATTATACATGGGGTAGTAGAAATAGAGAAAGGATTGGATGTATCTGTTGAAAGTGTTACTGCATTGATACGTCTCCAGACCTTACGCACTTGAAAACAGTCATACCTTAATTACATTTGAGTTACCTGCTCACAGATAGACATGAAGAAATTGAATAACAGACAAGTTTAACACTGTGAGTAAGTACCTTTTAGCAGGTTTTGAACACAAATATTTTTACAGATATTCTGTAATTGATTGAATGCAGGAATCAGGACTCAAGAACTGCATTGAATAATGCCCTGATGCGAACCATGTCACAAATTGTAATGTTGTCGTCAGCTAGCACCAATAACCAGAAGAGAGTAACAACATTTTGCATAACCTAAACAACTATCAAACCCCAATGTGAATGGCAGTATGTTGTTTATTTGTCCTCCAAAGGCAGGAGAGTTAGGAAACAATACAAATGAAGAAATATATTACATACTATAAAAAATGGATATGTAGTAGGATTGCAACACCGGTGTTATTAACAACTTTCCAGGATTTCAGATCAATGTCATTTGAACTTTTTTGTACTAACTGGGGCAGCTGAAGTGTCTGCACATTGAATGGAGAAATGTCACAGTCACTTCAACAAAGGGCTCCCTCTCTCTGCAGTTCAGTTTGTAGTTTGGTCTGCAGGACAGCAAGCAACACAGACAACAAGAACAACACAGGACACCAAGCACAACAGAGGACAACAAGCACAACACAGGACACCACAGGACACCAAGCACAACAACACAGGACACCAAGCACAACAGAGGACAGCAAGCACAACACAGACAACAAGCACAACACAGGACAATAAGCACAACACAGGACACCAAGCACAACACAGGACACCAAGCACAACAACACAGGACAACAAGCACAACACAGGACAACAAGCACAACACAGGACAACAAGCACAACACAGGACAACAAGCACAACACAGGACAACAAGCACAACACAGGACAACAAGCACAACACAGGACAACAAGACAACAAGCAGGACAACAAGCACAACACAAGACAACAAGCACAACACAGACAAAGCAACACAGACAGCAAGCAAGCAACACAACAAGCACAACACAGGACAGCAAGGACAGCAAGCAACACAGACAACAAGCACAACACGGACAGCAAGCAACACAGACAACAAGCACAACACAGGACAGCAAGCAACACAGACAACAAGCACAACACAGGACAGCAAGCACAACAGGACAACAAGCACAACACAGACAGACAGCAACAAGCACAACACAGACAGCAACACAACACGGAACAGACAACAAGCACAGACACAGACAACAAGCACAACACAGACAACAAGCACAACACAGATAAAGGCAGAAGTCTGTTGGTCCAGTGTTGCTAGGGCGCACCTCAGTTTGTTTCTGAGGTGGGTGAGTGAGTAAGTTTAGTTTTACGCCGCACACAGCAATATTCCAGCTATATGGCGGCGGTCTGTAAATAATAGAGTCTGGACCAGACAATCCAATGATCAACAGCGTGAGCATCGATATGCGCAATTGGGAACCGATGACATGTGTCAACCAAGTCAGCGAGCCTGACCACCCGATCCCGTTAGTCGCCTCTTACGACAAGCATGGGTTACTGAAGGCCAATATTCTAACCCGGACCTTCACGGGTCTGTCTCTGAGGTGGTCACAGGCAGTCACGATGTGGATCAGTGGGTCCATGTAGCAGAGGCCGCATCTGCCACACAGTTCCTCATCAAGATGTACATCTGTGTAGACTGAACACATTTTGATGAGGAATGAAGCAGCTGTTCTTGAAGATGGTGTTCATTGCGACAGAGTCCAGGTTGGATGCATAATTAGGCTTGGGTGGATTTGGGCAAAGAGCGAAAGTTCAACATCATTGGAATATCCTGTGTGTCCATGCTGCAGTGTGGTAAGATCTTACTTCTTTATTGACGACTCTCTTCCAGGAACCACAGGTTGGGAATTGTCCAGGACTGATATAATAATCAGCAGATTGTTGTAGTGAATACTTCTGAAGTAATTCGTAAACGTCTGGTACAAATCATCTTGTATTTGTAGTGACTCTACGGTTGTATTGTTCAAGCATCCTGGAGGTAAGTATCTTGTATGGGTTCAAGCGAAGTGAATATGATGGTAAAATCTGTCCGCTTGCATAAAAATGCTTAGTCAGGCCCTCAAGCATTATGGGGTCATATGATCCTTGATTTGAAAGGTTTCAGCATATGTGAATAACACAAAGTGAACACAGTATTTCAAATGGTTGAAAATTCTGTGATCGTTTTGTTTTAGTACTGGTAATATGAGCATATAAACAGTATTCAAATACGTACCCTTGATATCCGGAATGATGCAAAGTTTCTTACTAAAGGCATGAAAACATTTGTAAATTTAAAAACTAACAAATGTTTCCCCACCTAAGGAAATATTCATATTTCAAATCCTAGTAAATTGATAAAAGAATCGAAAATCACAGCACCTGTTATAGTAAAAAGGAATGTATTGTAAATACTGTATTCTTCCTGAGGTATCAACTTTTGAATTCATGCTTGGAAATGTCTGCAAACCTGGTCATAACGTACATGAGAAAGGTGTGCATACTGTAATACATGATAAGCATATAATGCAAATGTGCAGCTTGAAATCAAATAAGCTCTGCGTGCGTGTAAGAGAGAGGGTTGTGTGTGTTTGGTGGAAGGATACCAATAAGCCTTTCTGATCAGTGTGTGATGCCTTTTTACGGCCATTAATCGTGTACACTGCTAATGACCTTTAAAGCAGACAATGTCTATTACAGTTAGAACACTCGCAGTTGTAAGCACAAAGTCGTGAACCGTTAGGTCCCTAATTTACATTACACAATTGTATGACTTATCCGACTAGTCATAGCTGTACACATGTCATTAATTATACTTCCAAAGAAACTAATAACAATGTTTTAATCATTTCCGGTGTAAAATACTGTTGTAAAAGTGTAAACATGCACATACTTGGTGTAACCTCTTTTTGATTGGGAATCCAGACATTATCCCATACGGACGCCTGGAGAATGCCACTTGCACGTACACGTTCAACATGTGTAAGGCGTGGCATTAGAATTGAGTTTCTGTCAAAGATTGTTAACGTGTTTTTTCTTATCACCAGTAAATTCTGCACACGTGTTGGTTGTTAGGCGCATAAAATAGAGTTCACGTGACCCTGCACACGGTCGTGTTTTCACAAAAGAGCGTTTTGCATTCACCCCGCGTTGTTCACCGCAGATGAAATTGCGTCATGCGCCTGGCCATTATGGTATTTGGCCATGTTAACTACCTTGTATAATAGTACCCATTTTGAATATAATCATATCTCCAAATGTGAAGTTTCATGTTTTGTTCAGTATTTAACATCTGATGTTCAGTATAGATCATGTGATATGGCATTGTTTGTTATCGTTTATTTGTGAGTGTATTGTCCTCCTGGGAGGGTACGTAAGTCCCGAAACTTTCAAAGTAAATTTAATACTTACCAGGATTTTAAGCGTAGACGTTTTGTGAGTTTAAAGTATGGCTAAATTTGACTACACTCGCCAGCGGCTGAAGGGATGATATAAATCCAGCTAGGGTCCATGTAGGTAGCAAAGTTACTGTAAGTCCCCATGGTCCCTAGTATGGTGATCTACCTTCAGTTGTTGGTAGCCCGGTTTTTATATTGTATTGTCCTGTATTAAAAGACATGTTTTAATGCTTGCATGTTAGTTTTATATTTCTATCTGTGATAACAAGTTGTTTTACTGTCCATTGTTGACAGATTTTACGAAATAACTTTATTATTAAAGTCTATATTATCAAAGTCACGATATGGCTGCAGTATTGCCATATTATTATTCTGAATCTTAACTCACTCACTCACTTATTTGTGAGCGTGTAAACTTGTACGTTTTCGTAAGCTTAGCGTGTTAGCAATTATGCAAATCATGGACAGGAATTTGCTCCTCTTCAGCTAGTTTCCTCAGCGTTATGTTACAGTACCTTGAGGACTTTCCTGGCTGACTTACATGATTGGCGTGTTATGTAAGGAGTAACAGGACCAGTCATACTTGATCATATTTGAAACACACAGGATTGCAACTGTGTATACATGTCCATGGATTATTTCGGATGAAGGACACGATTTTATTTTTGACTTACCTCGAGATGCATAACGCTGTCTCACTGACCATACGACCATTGTCTGACAAGCGAAACCACAGAACTAAAGTAACTAGTTTAGTCTAAATGTGATCGAATCCAGACCTTGGCCAATCATAGGAATCAGCAATGTTGTGTATCTGTCGCAAGACAAACTTATCACAGACAAAATCCCCATGCGTTTGACAGTGACATCCCTGCGCCTTCCATAGATGTATGAATCGTTTCCAACTGCCGCTGTGGGATCAGAGCCAAATATCGATATGATATTGACCCAGTTACAGACCATGGTTGTACGAAGGAACTGTTTAATGGTTCTGTGTTTCCGTCTGGAACGTTATTGGACCTTAACGCAAATTAAGACCACACATTATTGGCTATGGCATACCCAAAGCCCTCAGAATAGTCGTCAAAAGATACATACGTCTATACTCTAAAGCCGTGGGATGTATGAACTCGTTACAAAGCGAAATACTCTATTTAATGATGTGTACACTTGGGGTGGAAATTCTCTGGCATTATATTCAGGAAAAACAGTGACTCTTAAACGGAACATTTAACGTCGATGATGTCAATAGAAGATTGCCTGGTGAATCAGTAGGTTTTAATTATATCAGATCAAATATACTATCCAAAAAAAGAAACGCATAGGTGTTTTGTATTTTTAAAAATCTATTAATTACCTCTTGTGTTCAAACAATCGTCAATATACGCACCAAAATTGTTGATAACATGATTTTACACTATTGCACAAGTTAAAAAATCGACTTTACCTGAAGATTTCTTACAAAGAATAAAAACGCATCCCCACAACGCAACAAAAATCACCTTCGTCAAAAGCAGCTTAAACCTCACACATGTATCTTGAATTGCGTTTTAATTCACAGATTAGTATTACATCTACCTATATATCACTTTTCCAGCCCCTTCCTCTCTGCATTTTCACCCGTGAAGGTCCGGATTAGAAAGTGCCTTCAGTAACCCCATGCTTGTCGTAACGGGAGCGGGTGGTCAGACTCGCTGACTTGGATTGACATATGTCATCCTGGTTCCGAAATGCGCAGATCGATGTTCATGCTGTTGATCACTGGATTGTCTGGTTCATACTCGATTATTTTACAGACCGCCGCCATATAGCTGGAATATTGCTGAGTGCGGCGTAAAACTAAACTCACTCACTCACTCTCACTCTCTATTTTCAAATATAGCCTCAATCAAAAGTGTTAAGTTTCTGTTGGCCGCACTTGGCCGGAGCTTGTCAAAAGCAACTTAAACCTCGCATTATGTATCTTGAAGTCTCACAGATGAATCCTAGATTCTGTTTACATCCAATGAATATAGTTATATCTATCAAATACCACTTTATAGACCCAGTTTTCTTTGTAACATCACAATGTGGCATTTAGGTAGATATAATAATGATCTATGGATTTAAACACATTTCAAGATACATGTGGTGAGGGTTGCTTTTGACAGCCCGAGCCAAGTCGGGCCGAACAGACTGAACACTTATGATTGAGGCTATTTTGAGGGTGGGCAGACAAGGGCTTCCGCTTTAACGGAGCAGTTACCTTTACATGTGGCATTTTGTAACATTTCAATGTGATATGTAGGTAGATATAATACTTAATCTATGGATTTAAGCACAATTAAAGATACACCTTTGAGGTGTTAGGTGCTTTGACGACTCGAGCCAACTCTCGACCGAACGCTTGTGACACAGTGTGTTTGTTGGAGAATATATAGAAATGAAGGCTTCACTTCGAGCAACGTGTTTGCTTAAAAATACTACGCTTTATGACTCTATAAAGAAGTATTTAGGTACTAGTAGATATAATACCATTTTGCCTTTCATGTGTACTATAAGCAAATTTAAGCATATGCATACGCTGGCTATCGGATTTGGGATGGTGTTGTTTTACGGTTTAGAATAAGAATATGTGTGTGTGTAAATGTATACTTTCTTTGATCCTTTATAACATATTACAAAAGGTTGTGATTTAGTATATTTCTTTTAACATATATAATCATGTCATAATTTCCCATATAATATGGGGAGCAATTATTTCGAAGCCATTGAAAATGTCCATGCATCTTATTTTAAAGATTTCTTACAGAAGGTATATTTGTTTCCAATAAAGCCATACTTGGCGAAACAGGATGCTATAACATGCATATTGAGAGTCAAATGAGAGTTATTAGATACTGGATTAAACTTATAAGAATGCCTGATTATCGCTACCCCCCATCAAAGCTGTCAAATATTGTTATCGCTGGATAAATGTGGAAAGTATTCATGGGCTTCAGATGTGAGAAATATGTTATTTTCAAGCGAGTTTTTCTCATGTTTGGATTTAAGCAAAATGTTGGTGATATAAAAATGTTTTGTCAACATTTAAACAACGAATAAAAGATATATATTCAGAGTTGATACACATCAGTCAATTCATCCAGTTTTCTTAGTCATTATTCACAATGTAAATCGATGTTCCGGACCTGCAAAATATGTCAGTGTTCTTAATGATAAGTCCCTTTTAAGATTTTTTTGCAAATTTAAAATCTTCTTCATGCCTTAAAAATACAACGTTTTAGAAAAGATAACAATACATTGGAAGATTCATCATGTTCTTATTGTTCTTCTGGTAAACTGAAGACGAACGACACTTTATTATTAGTCTGTAAGACTTTCTGCCTGCCCGAAAGGAAGCATTTAAAATGCACTAATGATGCCCCACAAAACGATATTCAATGTACTTAATTCTAATAATGCCATATTATTAAATCTGTTGCTACTTTTATGAAAACATTTGATGTCCATCCGTAAATCACATGTAAAATCATAATTCTAATGTCACGTGACCAATAGTTGTAATTGAGTAACTTCAATTGTACTCTGGGCCACTGGGGCCTTAACTCACTAAAAGCCT